GTGACTTGGTTTCATTTCTATGCATGATGCAAATGTGTGTGATATAAATGAGGGTGTGGACCCATGGTCAATTAAAACATTAACAAGATATTCAGAGATAAGAAATGTACTATGGATTACATTCGGTGCTGCCTCCGTAGTGTGAGTGTCGATGGCTAATACTCTGTATAACACCTCGGCTCAGAAAAAATAAAATCCAACCACCTGATTTTTAGAAGCAGGAAAAGCTAAAACGACGTCATTATGAAAAACTCCAAAAACGACGCAGTTTTTTATATAAAGAAAATAAAAAGGGAAGGGGTGCAAATAATATCGTTTTGAGAGCATTAAAACGACGCCGTTTTGATGATAGAAAAAGAAAAAAGCGGGAGTTGTAGAGGCGAACACGCCTCTGCAAGAAGAAGAAGAAATGGAGATGTATACGCCTCTGAAACTTGCTGAAGAAGAAAGAGGAGAGGCGTGGGGGAATCTTCTTATTCTCGCTTACAAAAAGGAAGAAAGAGAAGAAGAAAAAAAAAGAAATTAGTTCAAGGAGAGAGAGAGAGTTGTGCGACGAGAGAGGAGATTTGTAAGAGGGAGTCGCGGCTGCCACCGACCTGCACAAGGCAGTCTGTAATAATGCATGACTTTCCTCGCAACAAGTTGAAGAGCCTAGGCAGCTGACGATCTGTGCGATTCGAAACCAAAAAGATAATCGCGCGATGACATGCATCCCAAAAAGGAGATCCGTTGCGGTTGGTCGCATGATTTTGCCTACCTCTGACTTCTTCTGGTGTGATTTCACCATATACGCACTGGATCTGAGTACGCAAAGCATTTCGTGATGAATTTTGGTCGATTCGTAGTGTTTCGCGATGACGTGCGGTGGTCCAGCAACGATGCTCTAGCAACAGCGCTTCGGCAACAGCACTCTGGCAGCGTTGCGTAGCAAGCTAGGGACACACATGTGGTGGTGCATGGCGATTTCGGTGACTGGGATCGCGGGTCAATGGTAAAAACTCAATTTGCCTTTGTATTCTAATTATTTCTACAAGTGTCCATAATTTAACCCATGTATTTTTTGTTTGTAAACGAGAGAATTATCTAAATGGTAGTTGGAATTTAGAGTAGACCGTACACTCGAACCAATAAGGATTCTAACACTTTCCTATTCAATTATAGGTAAAGGATTGAGTTAGTCTCATTCAAAGGTCCCCATATTTTTATAAAGCATTGTTCCGTTAAAATAAATTGTTTGCAGATCTTACAAACTATTTAAGTTTTCTAACGTGATTTTCGCGAACTCATCGTGTGTGTGTTTGTGCAATTGCATATGATTAGAGATCTATATGATGTTGTGTATGATCTATGTTTATATATGCATATTACTACTAGTGTGTGTATGCAGATTTTATGCATGCTAGTTACTGATTTATAGGTGTGCATGACACATATATATGTATAATTGAATGTTGTATAATATATGTATCTATGAGTGAACAACTTGTATGTGCATGTTTATGGAATACGTATATGTCTTGTGTAAATGCAAGTATGCTTATGTTCTATGTGGTGCATGTATATATATTTATTTAAGTCGATGACTGTGCATATAAGATGTATATATCATGCTTATTGCGTAGATATATTTATGTATAATATATATGATGTATATGTAGGTGCATGCATGAATAGACCATCTAGTGATAGATTTGATTAGTAAAAGAATAACATAAGAATATTTAAAAGACAAAAATTCGTTTAACCATTATCAAGAGGGGAAGGGTGTGTGTGTGTAGTCATTTTGGTAGGTGAAGCATGGTGAACCCTACCTGTAGATATGACCTCAGCTAGACATGACTAAGAAATCTTATACATAACCGTTCTGTGTTCGGGTATATGTGAAAAGTGATTAGTGATACCCAATACATAACCATTATGTGTTCGGGTGCATTGGGAAAGTGAAAAGTGAAAGTGAAAGTGAAAAGTGAAAAATGATATGTGATGTATCCACGTAGTAGAGGGAATTCTTAGTGCCCTCGTTAATGCTGGTGGAAACGGTATCCCGCGATGAAAATCTTAAAAGAAGAAAAAATAAAAATTATAAACTTTAATAAAAATATAACTGAGAACGAAGGTATAACTGAAAAGTGATACGTAAACAATGTAAGATGAAAGTAATATTAACATATGCAATGATAAATAATTCAGTGACAAGCGCAAGTGATTGTCAGAAAGTGCAAGTGCAAGTGTTATAAAACTAGTGACCAATATTATTTGTTTATGTAGACGTGATTTTAGAGTATCTGTGATGTCTATGAAATCATACGTGAAATAGTGAATTATTGAGATATGTGAAATTATGGTTATTATATTACTTGAAAATTAGTTTAAAAAAAAATGTATTTGTTTTATAAATCTTGTATGATCGAGTGTGTGTATATTTTTGTTTTGTGCATTGCCCCTCTTCTTTACTAAGTCCGTGAAATTCACTCCAATTCACACTCCTCCCAATATAGATTAGTTCAGATCAAGAGTAAGTTCAACGCCGAAAAAAAAATTTGAAAAATCTTTAATGATAACAAAAATTTTGTTTTATAAAGTCAGTTAAATTATATTATAACGATGTAATGTAAAAAAATTTGTAAGTCCGATGTCTTATAATCCCGTATAAAAGATGATTAAATCTTAAGTTTTTACTTATTGTTACGTAAATTTATCAGGTTACGTGTATAAAATAACACTTATTTCTCAACAGAGAAAATGGATCATTTCACTTTGCCATGAATTAATGGCCTCCCCTGTACTCTATTCCCCGGACATTCTTTGACAAGGTATTGTGCACTACCACACTTGTAACAGCCACGCACTTCAGGGGTGCAGGGTCGGTCACTGTGATATTTGCCACAACGTGCACACCCTAGTGCATTCCTTGCTGTTGGATTCCTGGGAGTGAAGTTCTGATATGCCCTCTGTTTCTTGTCTTGGTGGTTAGACACCGGTAGTGGTCTTTTATGACTTTGAATTCCCCAAGAAATTTCACTCGGTCCTTGATTTACTTGTTCTATTAATTGAGCCTTATCTAACACTCCCCGGTAGGTTGGTAGGCCGAACACTGCCACCTGTTAATAAAGGTCAGGCCTCAATCCCCTTTCAAACCTTCAAGCCTTCTTTGTTTCGTTCATCATAATCTCAGGAGCAAATCGTCCTAGCTCAATATATTTCTCTGCTTATTCTGCCACTATGAGGTTCCCTTGCCGTAACTTAGAAAACTTATTCTCTTTTTGTTGTCTGACTATGTCTGGAAAATACTCGCATTAAATGCCTCCAGAAAGGTTTCCCAAGTGATGGGTGGAGCTAGGGCTTTTTCCTCAAATTCTACCAACGTTCTGCTGCATCTTTCTACATGTAGGTGGCCAACAACACCCTCTGTTCCATGTTTACTTCCATCACCTCAAAGATTTGGGGTAGGGTCGCACTAGTTACAGGTGTAGGTCAAGTTAGTAAATAATTTTTTTACTGAGTATGGGGGCTCACCCCTTTTATCATTTTAAAATAGGAAAACCAACTACCGTACCAGACCCAGTTGATGCAGAAACCAGACACTTGAAACACGTTAATTGCAAGCCACCACTAATTAGCATCGACTCAATCTTTCGGACATCCGAACCTCACTAGCTCCTTATTAACTTCAATCTTATAGAGTCTTGTAATTGGTTATTCAAATTTGGAGACAAAGCAAAAAGAGATGTTTTTTTTTTTTTATGTAAATCTGAACAAGATAAAAAATGAAAAGTTTCTTTGAAGGTGTCATCACCACTTGTCATCACACAAGTTTTCGTTTAAGTCTAGTGTTTGTCTTAACAATCTGTTGTTGATCGGTATTACTCCTAACAATCTGTTGTTGATTAGTGGAAACATCAGGTGAAGGAATAAAAGAAATATCTGAAACATGAGTGTTTGAATTATCTGATGCAGGATTATCAATGGAACCATGAAAATCATCATGCTGTAGTGAATAATCCGCATTATGAGACACAATTGGTAAAGAAATGGAGGAAGTAGGAGATTGATAGGGAAAGATGTGTTCATAGAAAACATCATCTCTGGAAACAAGTAATTTCTGTGACTCAAGAGAGTAGACTTTATAAGCCTTTTGACCAAGACTGAAACTAAGGAACAAACATTTTATAGCTCTTGACTCAAATTTATCCTTATGACACATTTGTCACATAGCATAAGTAGCCAAAACATCTAAAATTATCATGAGAGGGTGTATGACCATAAAGAATTTCAAATGGTGACTTCCAGTTTAAAAGAGATGTTGGAAGCCTATTAATAATGTGTGTTGCAAACATAATAGACTCACCCCAAAACCGAGTTGGTAATTGAGATTGAAAAAGGAAGGCCCTCACAATTTGTAAAATATATTTGTGCTTCCTTTCTACCACTCCATTCTGTTGTGGGGTGTAGGGACAAGTCTTTTAATGCAAAATTCCTTCAGAAGAAAACAAGCTTTGACACTCATGATTAGTAAACTCAGAACCATTATCAGTTCTTATAGCTTTGATCATTGTGGAAAACTGTGTTTCAACCAGTTGGAAAAATTGCTTCAAAATTTGAACAGTTCGTGTTTAAAAGAGTTCAAGTTGAACGACTGAAATCATCCACTATGGTAATAAAAAACTGTGCACCAGATAATGATTTTTGATTGTAAGGCCCCTAAAGATCTATGTGCAGTTGAAAAGATCTTGTAGTTTTAATGTGACTAGTGAATAACAATCTTTGCTGCTTTGCTATCTGAAAAACGTCACATGGAAAGGAAGATTCATTGATTTTATTGTTAAGAAAATCTAAATGAGACATAACAACAGAAGAAGGATGTCCAAGTCTTCTGTGCCATAATGAAAAGGAAGTACAGGAATTAACACTATTACAAAAGGAATTAACGGAATGAACTAAATTGAAATTCTGTTGAATTAGTATGGAAATCAATCAATGCAAGATTAAAGCTACTGGAATCCAAAATGTATAGCCTTCCAATGACTTTGCCTATTGCTAGAATCTTCTCATTCTGCAGGTCTTGCAGTATACAATGGTTAGGATAAAATAGAAATTTGATTAGTGAAAGTTCAGATAGTTTGTTAATTGACAAAAACTTATGTTGAAATGTTGGTATATATAAAACTAAAGTGAGTATTAGTTTATTTGAGATATGCACATCTCCTGTATGACGAACCAGCTTTATTGATCCATCAGGAAGATATACAGGGGTTATGGTCTTAACTGGGTCTGGGTTTTGCAAAAGTTTTAAATCATTGCACATACCAGCAAAATCATGGAAGTGAGCCATATTAACGATACTGCTTTCTGCTACTCATTTACCTTTCATGTACCTGCTCATTTCTTATTGTATTAGATCCTGGATCTTTGTATTCAGCTCTAGTGACACTCCATCATCTTTGGTAGCTTCTGAATCTAGAGTAGCATCTGCCAGATTTGCTATTTGTTTGAATCCAGGTTTTCCTCTTGACTTCATGAGATCTTTGTACCAATCTGGTACACCATGGATTTCGAAGCAGGTCTTCTTTGTATGGCTAGTGAAATTGCAATGTGTGCAACGAAGATTTTATCTGTCAACCCTTTTAGAACCTCCCTTCTCCTTACTAGTACTCTTAGTATCATTACTTAGTTTCTTACCATGTTGATTATAAACCATCATAGCCACATTTTCTGAACCTTTTGTATAAACATTCTGAATTCCTCTTTGTTTTTCTACTCCTAAAATCATATAGTATACTTTGTTAATTTTTGATAACGGTTCTATTCCCAAAATATGATTTCTTACATGATCATATAGATCATTCAAACCCATCAAAAATTGCATTAACTTACAAGAGAAATTGTAGTCTGCTAGTTGCTTAGCTGCTCCACAACTGCACTGACGGATAGGTTGTACGCACTGCAACTCATCCCAACGCTTCTTCAATCTGTTGTAGTACTGGACTACAGTCTGGTTCCCTTGAGAGACTGAAGAATCTCTCTTTGCAATTGGTACAACAGTGGACCATTGCACTCTCCAAACGTTCTTCCAGCTCCTGCCATAGTTCTTCGGCTGTACTGGTGTATAAGAAAGCTTCCACAATATCTTTAGTAATGGAGTTGAGTATCCAAGATTGCACCATGCAATCCACCCTTACTCCATTTCTCAAAATCCTCTGATCCCTCTTCTGGCATCTCACATTTCCCATCTATGAAACCCAACTTCACCTTGGCTCCAAGAGCTATCTTCACAGCCCTGTTCCATGCCAAGTAGTTGTTTCTGTTTCAGTGGTGTTGATACTAAAATCATTCTAGGATGATCTGATGACTATAGTATCAACGGATCTTCCTTCTTGGTTGTCCTGGCTCCTTGAGTGCTTCCTCCTTGCACGTCTTCAGTGCCACTAGTTCCTTCCATCTCTCTAATCACTGTATTTTAATTCAAATGGATCTTTGTGCTCTGATACCATGAACAGAGAGCAAAAATAACACAACAAAATGAGAAAACTCTCAAATGATTTTTTATTGCTCTCTGATACCATCATAAGATCTTATTGATGTATTTATAAACAAGCTGGAAGGTTCTAGAGAAGAGAAAAGGGGTGCTAAAAGAAAAGAAAATGCTCCTCCTAATCAGTTAGGACAGAATGAAAACCAAAAAGAATGAGTACAAAATAATGCCAGTTATACTAACTAAGCTGCAGCAGAGAATGATGGCTGCATGACTTTACATGAATCTTCTACAGAGTTACAGTCTAATCAATAGTAAAATTCATTCTTAAATCATAATTCAGGAACCCATACCAGAAATTGCCAATACAATGTAAGAGCTTTAATTCAGCAAACTCTTGACCTCTTTTTCTTTCACTTCAGTATCTCACTGTCAAATATAAACTGTTGAATTAATTAAGTTTCCAACATTTCTTGTGGTGCGGCGGAAGTAAAGAGTGAAGAGGAGAAGTAACACGCGCCGGAAGTGAACGTGCTTCTTACCTACGGTTGGGACTGTGGTTGACTGAGGAGTGTCCCTGTCGCGGGCATACGTGAGGGCTGCCGGCCTACGACTTTCCTATGGCTGTGGCTGTGGCTGTGGCTGTGGCTGTGTTGTTGATGTGACGGAGCCGCCGCGGGAGAAACTGAAGTCCGAGAGAAGATGAACTAGGAAGAGCTTAGGAGAAACAGAGATTAGAGAGAGTTTTTCAGTAGGAGATTTAGACTTAGTTTAAAAAATTAAATATATAAAATATAAAATGACGGGTTTATATAAAAGTAATATATTAAATATGTTATATAAAAAATTTAATCAGTATGATTTATATTATAGTATTAATATATAAATACGGACTGAGGATGGATTATGTTTGGGTTTCGATTTAATATGATGGATTAGCTTTTGATTAGAACTAAAGATCATTCTTTTTTTCTTCATTTAACAAATATAATAATAATTACTATTATTATATTTTTTATTTTTATTTTGTTTTTTTTTTTTTCTTTTTCACTTTGTGTTTTTTATCCAGTTTGTTATGAGCGAAAAAAGAATAATAATTATTTTATAATGATAATAATAATAAATAATACTTTTTAAATTGAATTAAAATAAACTTATTTTATTCAAAACAGTGAGAGAGATTTGATCTGTTATAATTCAAAAATGTGAAGGCAATTATTCCCCTAAAAAATTGATATCTTGTTTCCGTTGATGACAGTCGGTTTCCGTGAAATTATCTTCTTTTATTTCCCAGGTCCTTTTATGTCTTTTCACTTTTCCCAAGAACCAAACAAAAACACTTTTATCTTCTCTCCTTCTATTATTCAATTAAGAGACACGCTTTTCTCGTCATTGAAGCTCTCACTTTGCTTCGGCTACCTCTCTTTGGTGCTTTCCTCAGATCTTTCTCAGTTTATACACCATTATCTTATTCCTAAAAAGAAAAATTCCAGATCAAGGAGTACTTCTTGTATTTATCTTCTTGTAATCGCTTCTAACAAAATCTCTTAAAAAATTCTCTTCCTATCACTCCCACCGCTGCTAAAGCGTCCTTTTGTATCTTTCTCCTTGTTGCTTACAACCAGCAAATCGTATAATTCTGCGAAAATGCATTGGCTTATCTTTTCCGTTCTCTTTTGTTGCTCGCTTTTTGCCTTCTTCTCCAGCGGTTCTGCTTCCGGTGAGGTGGTCACATGCTCCGGGATAGTGCCGCTGAGCTACCGAAACGACAAGATTTCTATAACGGACTTTGGCGGTGTTGGTGATGGGAGAACTTTAAACACTAAGGCGTTTAGGGCGGCAATATATCGGATACAGCATCTCAGAAGGAGAGGAGGCACGCTGCTTTACATACCTCCTGGGGTGTACTTAACAGAGAGCTTTAACCTTACTAGCCACATGACTCTCTACTTGGCCAGGGGTGCAGTAATCAAAGCCGTTCAGGTAATTAATCCACATCGTAATCGGTTTTCTCATCGTTAGCGCTTAAGCTTGTTCTCAATTATATCTACATTATAATTTGACAACGTGCTTGTTTTATTACATCTCAAACCTGATTATTACTGTTAGTCTTTTACAAGTTAAGATTATGCGTTTTGGCTTACTAGTTTCTTCTAGGTTATTGTTCGAGATTTTTTGATTTTTTTTACTTCATTATATTTTTAAACTGAGTTTAATGTAAAAAAAAAATACACGAGGAACTGAATTTTACAGCAAAATGATTGAATTGCAATAAATCTAAACCACTTTGGTGAAACTTTATTTTTTTCTTTTTCTTTTCATTGTTGCCTTTTCCTTTCTGCTAATTGTGTTTTGATTCTTTGGTCTGATATTTGAAATGTTCTTGAAATAGATCTATATTCTGTCCTGTTAAAGCGAGTGTTATTTTAGCCAGAATGGTTCTGTAAATAATGGGAATGAAGAGATCAGTATGAGCCATGGTAGGTGCAGGCATTAAGAATGCAAACATGGTGGGCCTGGCATCTGAATGGAATGGGTGCATGTGCGTAACATTTATCATGTCTAAAACTGAGCAAGTTGGACAGCCAGATAGCTGGCAGGTTTTGTCGTTAACTGTGTGATGTTATCATATTTTATTATACTATGGGTGAGAAGATTACCATGTTAAATGGGGACATGATTCAGTCTTTAGTAATGGCAATGGTTTACCTAATTAATTAACCAAAAAATCGTTGTCGTTTATAGGGATAATTGCTGTTAGCAGATTCTTATACTGTCAAGTTAGGTAGTGGTACTTTATAGTCATTGAATGTTAAAGGAGGAAAAACTGATAGTTGTTGTGTCAAATTTCTAATGCAATAATTTCTGATGTTGATAGACATATAATTTCTGATGTATTCAATTTGATCATGATACCTCAGTAAACACTCGGGTTCACCAAGTCCATCCCGTGGTTGAGAACTAACCTTGATTTTGCTGGAAGTTGCTTGTTACCACTGCATGGAATGAGTTCTCTGTAGGTTGTCAACAAGAAGGGAAAATGTTAGGGTTCAAAGCGTTAGATGAGTGCTTTTTTTCTTCCTCACCCCTCAAGAAGCCGTAATTAGCTTAAAATGTAGTCGACTCTCTAAGAACTTAAAAAATTTGATGACACATTTAGCAATCAATGAGAAGCTTATAAGTTGGCGGTCTATAAGCTCTTAGAGCAGCATCTCATAAACTTAGTATGTGTGGCTTTTAATTCTAGCTACTGTTAACTACTTATATGTCTAAAATACCCTAAAACTAGTATTGGTTTTAATTTTGTGTTACCAAATAGTTTAACAGCTTACTTATAAAAAGATTCTATATGCTATTGAAGAGCTTATATGCTTATATATTCTAAGTTGAGCCAAAAAGACTCCAATTTACTTTTATATCCTTTATAAAGCATCTTGTTGCTTGATTGTCCAGTATACAGGGAACTGGCCTCTGATTGCGCCCTTGCCATCTTATGGAAGAGGACGGGAGCTCCCTGGTGGAAGGTATATGAGCTTTATTCATGCAGATGGAGTTCGTGATGTGGTGATCACTGGTATGTTTCAATATAAGTGATTAATTAATTTTACCGCCTTTCATATGTTCCACTAGATGCTATGCTTCTCTCTGATTTAAGCATCTTAACAATTTAAAAGTATTGAAAGAGGCTTCTTTAAAGTAGACATGCTGCACCTTGGAGAAGCCTGGCGTAAACTTACATACACATCTTTCTGAATACATTATATTTATTGATGTTCTATTCGGGACTGGGTGAATAGTAATTCTAATTAATGGTAGTTTGACTGCCCAGTACTAGTTTTCAGATTTATGGCTTTTTGGCACTGTGAATTTATTGCCTCTACCTGGATCTACACATCTGTTAAGGTTTGATTAATTGTTCTTTAATAGGAGAAAATGGAACAATTGACGGCCAAGGAGATGTCTGGTGGAACATGTGGAGGCAGCGTACTCTCCAGTTTACAAGACCAAATCTTATTGAGTTCAAGAATTCCAGAAGTATCCTAATTTCCAATGTGATTTTCCGAAACTCCCCTTTCTGGAACATTCACCCAGTATATTGCAGGTAACATTGGAGACAAATGATCCATTTAAAGACTTGGCTTCTTATTATACATTTCCTTTACCTCTGCTTATCATGGTGGAACTTATGGCCATCTTAAACGCATTCAATGTTATCAAACAGATATAGAGAAAGAGATTTTGATTTTATGGTCTGACCAATTGGTGTTAACTTTTTCTCACTCTTGCAATTTGCAAGTGGGGACCTCTAGAAGCATATGAACCAGCCCATATGCAGGCTAAATATAGCCGAAGTGTGTTACGTTAGCATTCTATGCGTGCACTAAAATTAATCTTGAATTTATTTTCTTTCCACCTGTAAACCGAATAAGTTTTGTTATAACCTTGGGCATGAGATATGACTTCGCTGCCTTATTCTTGTGCTTTTTCTCCTCAGAGTCTGTTTATTTGCTTAGTTCTAGCCTGATGCATCCTCAAGAAGATTAATTTTAACTCATAGTTCTTTGTTACAGCAACGTTGTCATCCGTTATGTCACTATCTTGGCCCCAACTGACTCTCCTAATACTGATGGAATTGATCCAGGTATGGACTTCAATGCACTCTCTCAAATGTATTTCACTCATATGAGCATCCTATCCGAATTTGCATGCTTCTTAAGTCAATAGTACTTGTCATCCCCATAAAAATCCTTGGCTTGTTATATGGACAAAATGGGATTGTGGAAGAGTTTGATTGATTATTGTCATGTTCCAAGTGATATCTTCTCTTTCCATGACTCCGTATCAATAAAAGGGGGAAGAAACTAATCATATGAAGCAAATTTCTCTGCTTGTGCTACTCATTTTAACAACTATTAGTCGCGAGAGCATATGTAGAATATCAGATAATTAGAGTTCGAATCAAGGTAATAATCCTTTTCTTTGGCGGCATCTGCAATTGTTAAAAGAAGTGTGTTGTTTGCGCATGGTTCTAGTATCCACTGCTTTTATCTAGGAGAACAATCTCTTGACAGTAACCTGTTTTTGCAGATTCAAGCTCTAATGTTTGCATAGAGGACTCTTACATTTCTACTGGAGATGATCTTGTGGCTGTGAAGAGTGGATGGGATGAGTACGGGATTGCTTATGGTCGCCCTAGCTTTGGCATTACAATTCGCCGGATTACAGGGTCATCTCCATTTGCTGGGATAGCTATAGGAAGTGAAACCTCTGGCGGGGTGCTAAATGTGTTGGCTGAGCACATCAACCTTTTCGACATGGGAGTCGGCATCAATGTGAAAACAAATATTGGTAGAGGGGGAGTGATTGAGAACATCACAATTTCTGATGTTTACATGGAAAATGTCCGTACAGGGTTAAAGATTGCTGGTGATACTGGGGATCACCCTGATGACAAATTTAACCCGAACGCACTCCCAGTTGTGAAGGGCATCACGATTAAGAATGTCTGGGGGGTGAAGGTCCAGAGAGCAGGTTCGATATTAGGCTTGAAGGACTCTCCCTTTACAGGGATCTGTCTCGCAAATGTTAACCTGCATGGTCTGACAGGACCAAGAGATCCTACATGGAAGTGCTCAGATGTAAGTGGAGCTGCGCTCAAGGTTAGTCCATGGCCATGTTCGGAGCTGGCTAGCACCTATTACAGTGATTCATGTTCTGATCAGTTTTGAAGATGCATTCAACTTTTTGAATCTATCATTTAGCCATCGCCAACTACAAGAGCTTCCTGCAAAATCTGTGAAAAGGCAAATCAGCACAACGCTACAATACAATGCGGATAGTGGAAATTATGATGACAAGAATCTTGGACTCAACCATCTTTTTATTTTTTTAGTTTGATTTTTTGATTTGTATGATTATGTATATGTTTGTTGATGAAAGCATATATAAAATGTTGTTTATGGATTAATCTAGCATAAGCAAATTTTTTTTTTTTTAAAAAATTAATAACAATAAATTGAAATTGTTAAATTCTATCAATATATGCAGTATATTTTTTCTTCGTTTCATATATAAAGCAAAAGCAAATGTAAATATAGAAAAGAAAAGCTTTAAGGGGAAGAGTGTTAAGAAAAGAAAAGAAAAGACAAGCATGTAAAAACAAACAATACAATCTTATTAAAAAAATAAAAATAAAAATTATACAATCAAAAACAGAGTTGGCAGTATAATGCAACTGAAACTTCAAAAACTTGTTACTTCTATTAAAATGTACGTACACTTATTCCTCAATTACATTTACGCACACAAGAAACATATAAGATACATCATTACTTTTTGAATATAATATCTGTTTCATTTCATATTGAATTTTAAAAGTGATCCATAAATAGAAGAAAAAAAAAAGAAGTACAAAAAATACTTAATTCTTTTTTAAAAATAAAAATGTTTAATCACTCCTTAACCACGTCCAACGTTAGATTTCAGTTCTAAATCTTTTTTGAATTATAAATTAATTCTTGAAGTTTTTAAATTGTTTCAAAAGCTAACATTAAAAATTAATGAGAAAAAGCTTTACCTTTGTTTGGTAAAGAAAAATTACGTTTCTACTCTCACTACTCACTCTATCTGTTTCTCTCCCTCACTCTATGTTTTTATATTTGTTTTCTTATATATAAATATATAATACTGTTAACATTCCATTCCCTTTTATATATATATATATATATATATATATATATCTCTCTCTCTCTCTGGTTTGTAATCAAGAGAAACCTAGCTGAAATTTTAAAATAGAAGATAAACCCTGAGTGTAAGAGATTACTGCTATCTATTCTATTAAAATCAAACATATATAATATAATAAAAATCAATGAGATATCAGCATCTTATATCTGAATATAAGAGAGATAAAATTATATATGGACTGCAAAGAGAGTATAAAAACTATAATACTGATGATGACGACGCCAATGATGACCTTGTATTAAAAGAGATACAAAAATGAAGAGAAATTCACCATAAACTTTCAAAAAGAAAAACCCTAAGTGTATTTTCAAGGCTTTAGACTTTCAGCAAACACGAACTTTGAATTGTAGAGACATTTCAACAAAAATTTAAGTTCAATTTTTTTTTTTTTGAATTTTAGTAGAAATTGAAATGGCTTGTCAGGCTTGGTTTAAAAGAATTCTGATCAAATGGGTTGAAGTGTTTGGATTTTATGGAAGTTGAGATTTTCAAGTTAAATGTAACATTTAGATTGTAACGATCCTGGAAATTTAAAAGGAAATATATAATAACTTAAGTGCGGAAGCGAAATAAAACGTTAAAATTTACATTTGTTACACAATAACTTAAAAGTACTGAACAACATTGCAGAATTAATTCTTTAAGAGAAATATGAAAAATAGAGAAAAAATAGAAAATAGAAAATAAAAAATATCTAGCATCTACTCACAATCTTATTGCAGATTGAACTCTGGAACCTGGTCCTCTTGATCTGAAATGGTTAAATAAAGGATGAGTTACACTAATCCAGTAACAATATCATACTATATCATCAGCACAGAAGTAAAGGTTGGTATAAAATCAAAAATCACTAATGGAGCATTAAATTTAGTAAATTCATTTATTAATTATAAAATCATTTCTCGTTCACTTACCATAGTGGAATTTATGAAAATAACCTATAAAAATAATAATATCATACAGATAATAATTTCATGAACAATCAGCAACATAGAACATATTATAAATTTATATCCATTAACAATAAATCAAACCATAATTGTTTCTCTTTTCACCAGTCTACTAGTATCCATGGGGGTTCATAGGGATGTCTCCGCTACACATGAACCATTTCCTTTAACAATCTCAATTACAGGGCCGTCTCCTACCTGTAATGGCCCCGGAAATTTAAATGAAGATGTATGTATTAAAAATCTTAAATGCGGAAGCGTAATAAAAATTTTGATTAACATTTCTTACACAATAACCAAAAACGTATTTAACATATGAAGGAATAAACTAATTAAAAGTGATACTCGAAATAAAAACTATAAATAGAGCTATAAAGTCCTTAGGCGTCTAACTAGCCGTCTTCCTGCGGAACGGGCTCGAGAACTACGTCTTCCTGATCTGAAATGGTTAAGTAAGAAATGAGCTACACTAGTCCAGTAAAGACATCACACTATCTCATTGCCACAGAAGTAAAGGTCGGTAGAAAACAAAAATGACCAATGTAGCATAATTTATAACAAACTCATTTATTAATATAAAAACTTTTACTGTCCACTTACCTTAATGAGATTCATGAAAATAACCTATGAAAAAAAACAATAACATGATAATCATCATAAAATCATATACACTTTGTAACAGAACACATGTCCTGCTTTTGCACTTCAATAATTAGACAATAAAGTTCCTCTTTTTACCAGCCTACTAGTATCCATAGGGATCCATAGGGGGTCCCCGCTACACGTGAACCATTAACATTAATAACCTGATTCCAGGGTCGTCCCCATACCCTGTCCGATATGGGCGCCAAAACCATAATCCTCAATACCTCGTCCGGTATGGGTGCCAAAACACATAAGGTCTCCATACCCCGTCCGGTATGAGAGACCACATTCCCAATAGGGTTCCCTACGGACCCGGTCTGTCCACCATCTCTCAGGATATCTAGTCAGGCTGTCCACACTATCCATTTATCAATTCACATAACTTTTTTGCCCTTTTCCTTGGTCTCAATCATTCAACTATACCTAACATGTAAACCAGTAATTGACACCAAACCGGACAACACAGTATCGGGTTAACCATAATACCAACCATAATAAAAGAAACCATGATTCATACATACGAGACCATAAAATAAACACATCAAATATCATACTGCATTTAATACTGAAAAATAGATCAAACAATAACTGACAATCAATGTATCAGACTCAGGCTTCATTGGCAACCTTAATCAATTATACATCTATAAAGTCACAAAATACCATTTAATTATTTATTAAGCTTTAATACCGTGATAGGAAATAGGATGATGGGTCCTTACTTGTTTCGGGGTCTGAAATCGGCTCTACAGTGCGCCTACGGGCTGTCCATAATTTTCTTGAGTTTTTTCATAAAAAACTGAAACGCACTACAAGTACCTGCATGTGCCCCAAAAAATCCCAAATCAGACCTAGGGCCCATTTTGGCCAATATCATAATTCCGGCACGGCGGCTTCGCCGTGCTCCGGCGACGGCGCTGCCGCCTGCAGCGGCGATCTGCCTTGGGTTGGTCGTTTTCGGCCGAATTCGGCCAAACTTGCATTGGTCCATGCGATAAAACAACCCTAGGGCTCTCGGTGGGCCAAAAAATCACGAAAAATCGAGACTTACCAGCGGCAGTGCTCTCGGGTGCGGCGACTTCTCCGGCGTGAGTCACGTTTTAATGTTTTGCTCCGGTCAACCTGTAGAGAAAAGAACAGTGATCACGGTGGTATAAAAATTGCATCGAACGGAGACCGGAAAGGGCCTCATCGGAGGCAAAAACAGAGGGAAGCCGCGGCAGCGGCGCCGAATTTCGGCGGGATTTTTCGGCCAATTGGCTGGTGGTTTGGCTCCAGTTTGGCCATAGGTGGATTCAGCATTGAAAAACAAGCCAGGAGGAGAAAATTTACCTCGATTGGTGGTCGGAAAATTCTCCGGTGCGGCGGCGGGTGGCGGCGACCGGCTCCTCCGGCGTCTGGTTCTTCTTTTCCGGTGAGGCACTGGCAGCTAGGGTTTTGTGGTCAGGTGTGGGTGGGGTTATTTATACCCTTTGCCTTTTAATCTCAGCCGTCCATCAAGATTAAATCTAGACCGTCCGATCGCGATTTATTTGGGATTAAATCTGGGCCGTCCGTGTCTGATTGAATCTGAATCGTCCGTACGTGTGAAATCTGGGCCGTCCGTGCGAACATTTGATTTGGGCTGTCCGTGCTCGCGGGAACGGATCTGGGTCGTCCGATCGCGCGCACGCAGATCGCCCACGTGGCCCGTCCCATGTCAGCGTTTTTTTGCCACGCGGCGTGTCCTGGTTGGTCGGGACTGCTGACCGGGCTGCTGACGTGGCACAACTTTTCCAAATTGCGTTTTGACCTCCAGTTTTTAATTTTCTTTTCAAAAATACCCCCAGAATCTAAATTTTCACCCATTTTTCCCAAAATCAATTTTAATTAAATCCAAATAATAATTTTACCTAATTTTATCATTATTATTATTTTTATTTTCATTAAATTAAATTAAATTAAATAAAACTCTAAAGAATTCAAATACAAAAATAAAAATAAAAATAATACAAAAAAAATAATTTGGGTGTTACAACTCTCCTCCCTTAAGGAAATTTGGTCCCCTAAATTTGTCTCTCACTCTTGGTCGAACAAATGGGGATACTGGGCTCTAAAATCTGATTCTAGCTCCCAGGTAGCCTCCCTGGGCGTGTGGTTCTGCCACACGACCTTTACAAATGATATTTCCCAGTTGTGGAGTATCCTGCTCTTTCGGTCCGTGATACCGACTGGTACTTCTTCATAAAACAAGTCCTCTTGAAGTGGAAGCAGTTCATGAGCCAAGATATGAGAGAGGTCCGGGTTGTACTTACGTAGCATGGATACGTGGAACACATTGTGGACTCTGGAGAGTTATGGAGGCAGTGTTAGTCTGTAGCAGCAGTACCAATCCTGTCTAAGATTTCAAAAGGTCCAATAAATCGGGGGTTTAATTTTCTCCTCCTGCCGAATCTACTAATTCCCTTGAAAGGAGTGACCTTAAGAAACACCCGGTCGCCTTTCTCAAACGCTAGGTCTCTCCTCCGGGTATCTGCATAACTCTTCTGCCTACTCTGAGCTGTCTAAATATTCTTTTTGATTTTAACTATTTTGGACGTGGTCTCTTCTACCAACTCTGGGCCGAACAATCTTCCATCGTCCACTT